CGCAAGACACAAAATCTTTCTATAAAGAAAAGAACGGTTTCATTGAAGAATTCCTTTGATTAATGCGAAGAATAATGTCTTGAATGAAGAATAATTACTACTCCACCAAAACTCAATTATTTTTGTTTTTTTTTCCTCAAGTAATTTTATTTTTTATTCAAGAATATTTATTCTCGACCCAAAATGCGACAATTTTAATAACAAGAGTTTTTATCATTCGTTTAAGACTGCTTATGTTCTTAAAAAGGAGAAAATATATTCTCCGAGGAAAACATGTAACACAAGAATAATTTTTACTACTGGCAAGAAAATATTGTTTCGAAGAGATAGGAATAATTTAGTATCTTGAATGAAGTTAATTTAACTTGGCTGAAGAAATCCTTTTTTACAGTGTAGTTTTTCCTGTCGCCTACCCTGCCTCCAGGCCCCCCTATTTGAGATAATTCAAATTAAAGTGGTGCAATTTATTATCTACTATAATTTATCGACAAATTTAAAATTTTATTTAAAAAATCCAAATATTACAGTTTTTATACCATTTTAAATATTTTTTTATTTTAATAAAATAAATAATAAAAATTTAAAATCGAATAAAATCTGTAATATTTGGATTTTTTGAATAAAATTTTAAATTTGTCGATAAATTATAGTAGATAATAAATTGCACCACTTTAATTTGAATTATCTCAAATAGGGGGGCTTGGAGGCAGGGTAGGCGACAGGAAAAACTAACTTTTTTTCGCAAACTTCAATTTAAATTCTGTTTGCGCCGAACTTGTTTATTTAATGTCAATATAAACTATTATAAATTTGGTGTGGGTCCCATGTCTAATAACTGAGATATTGGTATACTTAAAATCCACCAGCCGCCACTGGGAAGGCCAACGAATGCCAAGCCAAAATATATATTTTTTATTAGACAAAGATGTAGACTACTAAAAACTGTTAACCAAAAAAATCGCAAAAAATCGCGAAACTTATCCCAGTCAAAAATGTAAACCTCTGAGAAAAGAAAATATTACCAATTAATATGCATCTTTAAGTTGTTTATCGCATGTATTGCTTGGGCAATGAGCAAATTATATACTTACATGGCGTTTAATATTTGTTAAAAGTGTTTTTACCCCTACTTATTCTTTTTATATTACATCAAGGTGGCCTAGATGCATTGTTAAAAATTGCTCAAAAGGCATTAAAAAATCACATTTATGTCCAGTATTATGTTAAGAATCCGAGAATGAAAATTTATACAGGGGTTTCTATTTAATTTTTTGAACCTGGACCCATTTCCGGTGAAACCGGAAGTGACCGAAAAAATATGCGAAAACCCTCCTCTTTATACACCATTTACCTATTACCAACACTCTGTATTTCACTTTTTATCTGCTACACGAAGCAACTGCGTTGAGTCAAATTGAACTATTTTCAGAAAAGGAATCTCTAGATTTATATGTTCAATAATTTTCGGGATAAAATATAGTAACTATCGCGATATATCGATAGTATGTATGCAGACATTACAAAATAATTTTTTTCTGGCTAAACCGCTCATCCAACTTTTACAAGAGACAAAAAGTTTTTAAACAAAGTGAGCAACAGTAAAAAAAATACAAGCGAAAATTAGTACCTAACCTTGCTTTTCTGATTATTCTAATTTTTAAAGATAACTGAGTGTAGCACCAAACGACGTTAATTGGCAGTTAAAAGTTACATTCGAAAAATATTCAAAATTCATTAATTCGTTTTTAAGATATTTAAAAAAATAGTTATTTTTTAAAACTTTAAAGGCCTCTAACGACTAAACTAAGCAACTTAGTATATAGGTAATTTGAGTTAAATCGACTTATTTTGATCCGTAGATAACGTTGGCATGGTTTGTTACACTAGTTGAATTTTATAAATTAATTTCCAAAAATACCAATGTGGCAACACTGGAAAATGAAAAAATAAATTATATAATTAATTACCAGCATTGGTTAGTCTCAAAGTTTAATTATTTTTAAAGTTTTAAGTAAATAGAAAAAAAATTGAATTAATGCAACCTAGTTTGGACATTGGGCCCACAGTGCGTCCTAGAGAAAAACAAATGACATTTTTGAAATCAGCGGCCAAAATTAGTTAAACTAAGCTGGAGTACCTACTCAATATTAGGAAAAAAAAATTTCTAAAACTATCATACCAAAATAAATGACAGATATCAATAACATATATATGTTATTGATATGTTATCATATGATTTTGACTCACAATTTTGGTATTTATTTAATATTGGGTATAATAAGAGTTCAAGTTTTATTATTGGGTATTTTAAGAGTTCAAATCTAAAATTAAGTTTAAATATAAGGTTGTTTGCCCCACAAGTAAGTTCATGCTGCTTATACTCAATAATACAAATCATATAGGTTTGATAAAATAATTTATTATTCAAAAAATAAATCGTTTTAAATTAACATAATAATAATTTATACTTAAATTTTAAAACGATCAAAAATCAAAATATTTTGGAATGGGTTTCTAAAAAACGAAAATTAGTTATTTCATAATTAAATTTTATATAAGTGTATGAGTACCTTTAAAGGTATCCCTGATAGCACACTTTTATTCTAAGAATGTTTTTTAAACCTTCCAGTGAGAATATTCTTAGGATCATGCTATATTTCTCCTAAAGAACATACTTAAAAGAAATATAGCATGATCCTAAGAATATTCTAACTGGCCTATAGGCAGGTTCTTAGAAGATGCAGAGTTTTAGTGGTAAAAATTAGTCTACTCTAAACATATGCTTAGAATGTTAAGAAAGTAATTGCTATAGAAATTTCATTTAGGAATATTCATGTTAAGCATATATTTAGTTTGAACAGTTACCTATATACTATTAAAATATACCATAAACTACGTATAAAGGTATATAACTATACTTAAGTACCTAATTAGTAATTAGTATTAAATACTAAGTAAAAAATACAATCCAAAATATTTTTTTATAGTTATTTGTCAAATTAAAACAACATTCGATAACAAAAATACCTTTACTATAGGTATTTTATTTTATGTTAAAAATAAATATTTATTAATTTGTATACCGATTTTTTATTTCTGAATTCACATTTTTATGTATAATAATCCTAACTGTTGAAATAAAAAAACAGCAAAATATATACACAGAATTTTGATAACAGGTCACAGAAGACGTGTTCAATTTGTTAGCATGAACAAAGAAAATGGCTCTTTACCAACGAGTGGTTGGCGTAGAATAAAAAAGAATATGTATATTCATATGCAAATGTCAAAAATAAAACATGAAAATTACTTTTCCAAAGAAAAGTGGGGGGAATGACGTGAAATTCATGTTAATTTTACAGGAATAAGTGTTCATATTAAGTAAAAAAATCACCAAATATTGATGTTAGTTTGTTGTTAAAATCGTGATGTTATTTAAATGTCAAAAATAAAACACGAAAATCAATTTTTTTAAATGAAAGTGCGAGGAATGACGTGAAATTCATGTTAATTTAACAAGAATGGGTGATGTTAATATTTAGTCAAAAATTCACCAAATATTGATTTTAATAACTAGTCACATAATATCCTTTGCTTCCTGGGTACAACAAGACATATAAAGCTGATGGCAAGGTATAGAAACGGTAATCTGGTACCTACTGCGCATAGGTACGCTCATCTCGTACCTACTGCGATTAGATATCTATAACCTTTTGGTCCATTTTTTAAATTACACAACATATTTTGCCTACATTTTTCCGCTCTTTTCAATGGTTAACAGGATTTAAGTCAGAACTTAAGCCTGTTTAGCATTGGAAAGAGCGGAAAAAACGTAGGCAAAAGTGTTTTAGTACCTAATATTAAATTTGTTATTAGATCCTTTGCAACCGCCCCTCCCAAGGCCCCTTAATATAATCAGATACATGAAAATTGATTACAAGTCTTTTTCCAGCAAACTTATTTCAATTTGTTAATAATTTCTTTTCCATTCATATGAATGCATATGCATACGACTGAAGGCCCCACTTCCAAATAACTGAACAAAAAATGTTTGCGTTATTTTTAGGTATGTGGGGGCCCCCTAAAATTAAAATATTAATTTTTAAAATGTCTTTTAAGTAATATAATTATTTTTATAAAAAAAGTAAAGCAATTGCTTAAATCTCATTGCTATATTTTTTTAATTAACCCTAACCCCTATATTTTTACTTAACCCGCCCCGTAGCTACGGGATATTTTTAAATAAAGTACTAGAATTTTAAATGAATTTAACTTAAAATATTTAGTCCAAATTATAATTTCGCTATCATCACAAATATTTGTATAGGCATTGTTTGTTGACTCTAATCGCTGTATTGCCACATATTAATATCAATAAAATGAGTCAGGACACTCCTATATTTACGAAACAAATGATTAAATATTACAATTAAACAAAGTTTTTCCATACTATAAAATATTTAATGTTTATTATTTGAATTTACAAAAACATTGCATACCTACTTACAAATTGGCAATTGCAAGTAGGTACAATCAAATATATCATATATATAGATATATATTATAAAATAAATAACAATAAATATAAAGTTATTTCAATGTACACTTTTTGGTAAATTAAAATTTTTGACTGCTATTGCCTTGAGTAAAAAAAATAACCATATAATTATTAAATACTATTATTATTTAAATATGTTAATTAATAATTAATAACATGAAATAAAATACCTACTTTAAAAATAAAAAAAATATGTTTTAATTAATAATAATCTACTTATTTTATTTTCTGCCTTTGATTAATAATTATAGTTATAACTTTTTGTTTGAGAATAATGAAAAAGTTGCCAATTTCATGGTGATAATCGGGTTTCTAAATTTTATTTTTATTTACATCGCAATATTGTCTGCTCTTAATTATTATAAATTTACTTAACCTCTTCATTGACTTGCTCATTCAATAATTAATATTAAAGAAATAATTTTTAATTTAATAAACTTACTTAGATACGTTCTCGTTAATGTTTTACGACCTCTTAATATTTTTCTTCTTGCTTCCACTTCTGGCGTTAGAAGAGCAAATAATACTAAAAATAAGTATTAAAAAATGACAATTAAATTATATAGGCACAATAATTATGTAAAAAGTACTTACATGAAATAAAAGTTAAATAAAAAAATCCCGAATGAATTAACTTCATTTTTTCGTTTTTAATAACGATCTTGTTTCAACAAATGTATTTGGTCAATAATCAGTAATATCTGATAAACTTATATTATCGAGCAGATAATATTATCTAAAGTCATCAAAATTATTCGAAATTAGGTTTTAGGTATTTATGATTGATCTAAACTGCGCACCAGTCAATGTGTCGCGAACAAAAATTTCGTCCTTTTTCAAAACGACATAACTTTTTTGTTTCTTGAACGATTTTATTTTGGTTTGTGATGTCTGCTAGCCCCATTCTCTGGAAATTCATGCTATAGATATGAAGCTCACGGTTCTTTAAGTAAATTTCCTACAGGGTGATATGTAAAACGGTGAAAAATTTAAATAACTTCATCCAAGCCCCGTTTGTAAAAAAAATATTTTTTTCTCGTTTTTACTTTGAAATAATGAAGTATTATGTCTTACCTTAAAACATTTTTCAAATTTTTCGAATTGGAATCAGCTACAAAAATATGTTTTTTTTAAAGAGTACATTTGATGCTTTTTTGTAGGCAATACACTCAGCCTTTTTAAGATAAAAAAGATAAGATGGTTGAATAATTCTGAACAAGCGACAAGCAACAAACTTCCATTAATTTCAGAGGAACCTAAGCAAATACCACTTTTTCAAAATGACATTTTGGAGAAAATTTGCGAAAAGTAAACCTGAACCGATATTTACGTTCGTGACATGTTTGCTTTATAATTTTGACCTCCTGATGTGATTCAGTTGTCAAATTCGAAAATAATTCCCGGCTGTTAAATGTCTCAATAATATGGATTTGCCAATGCCATTTGAGGATTCACTTTTTGGGAGAAATTTCTGCAATTTGTTTGAGTGGTAAGGATAATGTTACATAAATTACATTTATATTGCGCACTAGTGATAACTTATTACTGATAAGTACCTACCTAATTGGTAATAAAGTTAAATACAAAATTTGTTTGTTCATTTTTGAAAATTTTATGCGAAGATATAGTCATAATAAAAACTACAACATTTAACAGAAAAATGTAACAAACAATAACAATAATAACTTTCAATATTTCGTTGGGCCCTCCCCTCACCCGTAATAATTCGTTAACCCTCCTGGGCATTCCCTAGACCAAGTTCCTTAGAAATTCCTGGGGTATGGCTTCCCATTCTTCCTGAAAGAAAAGGTGGAACCTATAAAGTTTGCTATTGGTGTAGATAATATTAAAAATGTTAAAAAAGTGGAATAGAAATTAGTTGTTGAAATCCTCAATAAAAAGAGTTAATAAAAGAAAAAAGAAATCAAAGTATGGGAGACAAATATAAAATAAAATAAGTTAACTTGAAAAGTACAAAAATTATTATTATTGGAATTGAAACATATTAGATCATTTAGGAGTAATTAAATGCTACATGCTACGGCTGGTTTTAACCATAAAGCTAAAAATTGTAAGAAAGTAAATGCTTGTTTTAAGTGTGCAGGTCCGCATAAAATTAAAAAAAAAATAAACAGAAACAAAATGTATTAGTTGTGTTACAGCCGAAGAAAAATTTAAAATAAAAATTGGTAGTAAATTGATAGTAATCATACAACTTAATAATATAACAAGGTTGTATGTTAAAAAAAACGGAAAATGTTTCTACAGGATTATACGTGGCCTACGCTTCACATACCACTTAAAAATAATTCTATAGAATGTATATTCTATGTAAACATATATATATATATAGAGTTATTTTCAAGTTGTATGTCAAGGGTGGATTACATAAAACCTTGTAGAAGCATAAACTCAAATTTTTCGGTTTTTTAACATACAACCTTGTTATATTAATAATAATAATAATAATAATAATAATAACCTTTATTGCCCAACAGGATTCTCCCAATTACAGGACAATGGTATAAATATATATAACAAATATATCAAATATATATAACACATATTTAAAACAAATACCTATATCGAACATACAATACAAAAACTTAAGAAAGAAATAAAATAATAAAAAAAACAATATCCTGATTTAAATATATCAACTAATAGCTCATTTCCATTTTTGCACATGGTTGTTATTGGTGCTTTTGATAAAATATTTGTTCTGGCAGTGGGAATTTGAAAGAAGACAGATATTCTTGAGTTGTTCCTCGGAACATGAAACTGAATCTTCGATAGTAAGTATTCGCAGTCAACTGTACCCCTTACCAATTTCGTTAAAAAACGTGCACTTTGCAAATCTCGCCTTGTGTCCAAGTGCATTATTTTGTATTCACTCATAATACTGTCCAGGTTAGCATTTTGTTCTGAGTACGTTCCATAAATTAAGAGATACATGTATTTTAAGAATCTTCTTTGAACTCTATAAATATTTATGCGATGGCATGTGTATATTGGGTACCAGATCAAACTTGCACTCCAGCTTACTTGCTACAAATGACATATAAAGAGACCTTATTTACTCCTATAGACATCTGCTATCCAGGAAAAATAAAACCACATTGTGTGAGGCTCTAGTTTTATCGCATCTCAATTATGGCAATATTCTATACGGTCCTTTTCTTAGACAGCGGGATATCAATAGGCTTCAGCTTATTCAAAATAGCTGTGTTAGACTAGTATTTAGTATTTGCAAATTTGACCCTGTTTCTAGCTATTACAGGAAAATCGGCTGGCTCAACGTAAAAAAAAGAGCTCTACTACATAGTTGCTGCTTTTTTCATAAAGTTATACTTCACAAAACACCACCTTATCTGTATAATAAAATAAGATACAGAAATGATATTCACAATATTAATGTCCGATTTAAAAATATTTTATCAATTCCCAAACACAAATCTGAAGCATACAAATCTTGTTTTTTATACCAATGCTGCTATACCTACAATAAAATTCCGGATTATTTACTCCAGAGCTGGCAGTTAAAGAGCATGAAGAAAAACCATTATAACTAACGTAGCATTTTCGATTAGTCAAGTATGATTTAAGAAGTTTTACGAAATTAGAAGAAAACCCAAAACCATTAAGTTTCTGTATTAAAATAGAATGACTAATGTTATCAAAAGCTTTCGATAGAATGACTAATGTTATCAAAAGCTTTCGATAAATCAGTGTAGATCACATCGACCTGTCCACGCCTATCCAAAACTTCAGAAATATATTGGGTGACAGATGCCAGATGCAGATGACAAAAATTGAAAAATTTTGATAGAATGGATATAGGTCGGTAATTTTCAACTAATGTTTTATCGCCTTTCTTGAAAATAGGTACTACACGAGCCGTTTTCCATTTTTGTGGGAATGTAGATTTTCTAATGCACATATTAAGAATTAATGTTATAGGCTTTGCAAGTGCAAATCTACAATCTTTAACAATAAAGCTAGGAATACCATCATCACCAGTCGTAAATTTATTAGATAACTTTTCCATGACTTTAATTACATCTTCTTCAGTTACAAGATTCATTGAGAAATGTAAGTTGGATAAGTATGTATTATCGGCTTGCGAAGGATTGGCATTAAAAATTTTTGAAAAAAACATGCTAAAAGCGTTGACAATATCAGAAGGGTTTGTAAGCTCTTTGCCATCTAAATAAAGGGTCCCTGGAATTCGTGTTGTGTCGCGTTTTTCATTTATATAGCTCCATAAGGCAGATTGGTTTGTTTTAATGTTTTCTTGGACTGTATAAATATAGTTATTATAGGCATTATTAATTTGACTTTTCGTTTGGGTACGAAGTCGCTTATATTCGAGAAGAAAGAATGTTTGCTTGTTTTGAAGCCATTTCTTTCTATATATTTCTTTTGTTTTAAGGTTAGTTTTAATTTGTTTGGTAAACCAAGTAGGAAAAGCATTATTCTGAGTTTTACTTTGAGTTTTTGGAACTGAATAATTAAAGACGCTGTACAATGTTTTATACAATTCGATAACCATTATGTCAACATCGAAGCATTGGGTTAAGAAATCCCAGTTAGTATTAAGAAGGTCATGACATAGATTAATGAAGTTTGCCTTTTTAAAATTATATTTTTTATTGTTACTTAATGGAAATTTGGTGCCTTGTGTATAAATACCAGTAACTACTATATTTAAAGACGGATGATAAAGGTCTTCAGGTACAAATGGCATTTCACAGGTGGTATTCGAGAGGATTAGATCAAGTTGTTTATTAACAGAGTTTAAAATTGTATTGTATTGATTCAGATCCAAAATATTGCAAAATAACTTAAAAGTAGAATATTTAGAACAAGTAGAGCTTGGTAGATTGAGTTTAGGCAAATTAAAGTCACCAATAAGAATAACTGGTTCATTCAATAGGAATACTTCTAGAGCACTAGTAAAAATTTCTAAATCATCTGATGTTGTATCAGGAAGAATATATACTAGACCAAACTTACAAATAAAAGGCTTAGTGATTTTACATATTATTATGTCGATTAATGGTACGAGATTTGATAGTTTACTGGTATCTAATTGGGTAAACGTAATATGGTCCATAAAACCAAGAAGCACACCTCCACCGCGGTTACGGTTTACTACATAAAAGTTTCGGTCATCTCTTACAATTCTGTAGTTATCAGGAAAAAGCTCAGATGAGTTAACAGAACTACTAAGCCAAGTCTCTGTAATACATATAATATCATAGTCTAAACAACAACAGCTTTTATAGAAAGTATTAGTTTTAGAATTAAGACCTCGTGTGTTTTGATAATATATATAAAGTGATTTAGGAGAATCTTTGGGCACATTTAGTTTTCCTGTTTAGTCATCTCTTACAATTCTGTAGTTATCAGGAAAAAGCTCAGATGAGCTAACAGAACTACTAAGCCAAGTCTCTGTAATACATATAATATCATAGTCTAAACAACAACAGCTTTTATAGAAAGTATTACTTAGTTTTAGAATTAAGACCTCGTGTGTTTTGATAATATATATAAAGTGATTTAGGAGAATCTTTGGGTACATTTAGTTTTCCTGTTTAGTAATGGTGGGTGGGTATACCGTTTTTATAACGGATTTTGAAACTACTTTCCCCATTCTCAATACGAGCATTTAGCTCTTCTTTAACAG